ACAAGACTCTTGAAAATGTTTAAGCAGCCTGATTTTCAGAGGGCAGGTATTCAACACTTTTTTGGAAATCAGGCCCCTTTAAGGGGCCTCAAGAAGGGTACCCAAAATAATCTCTTTTGAAAATTAAACTTTGCATTAAATTATAATTGAAATAATTTTTCAGCTCATTTCTATCACCCATTATACACTGTAGTGTACAGTGTCGCCAGCTCTCATGATAATATTGCAAGTCTCACGATAATTGCTATTTTACTCAAGCTCCAGCTACTGGAGCTTTCTGAATATCTGAAAATCTCATCTTTCATTTAAAGAAGAGTTTCTAGCTCTCATAGTTGCAGAAAAAAAGTATGAAAATGTGACCCAAGTATATCCTAAGGCTTAAAAAACAGAAGGCAAATAAAAAGAAGCCAAAATTTGGTGGCAGTTTTTTAAATCTCATGATTTTTAGAGGGCTGCCTCATGATTTTTTAACATCTGAGGTTGGAAATACTGCTATTATTTACATATGGCTTTTGTAATCTTGCAAATAGTGGGACTAATCCTACCACTCTGTGCATGGAAACCCCTCTGACATCAATGAGAGTTCCAGACAAGAAGAGTTTGCACGATCAGGCCTGTGGTTTATAAAATCTCTGTGAAAAGAATACGGTATGCTGAAGTAATTGCCCAAATACTGTAAAAACATCAAGGAGTCCTTGTGGCACCTTAGAGACTAACAAATTTATTTGGGCATAAGCTTTCGTAGGCTAAAACCCACTTAATCAGATGCACGGAGTGGAAAATATCGTAGGCAGGTATAAATACACCGCACATGAAAAGATGGGAGTTGCCTTACCAAGAGAGGGTCAGTGCTAAAGAGCCAATTCAATTAAGGTGGAAGTGGTCTATTCACAACAGTTGACAAGAAATACCACTCTGAAACCTATCACCAAATACTGTAGTAACTTTATGGTAATATGTAATGGTTAGGAATCTAGAATATTGTAATATATACTAATATGTACTGCCACAATGTATACTAAATGGATGACTTGTAAGAGCCCAATCCTGCGTTCCTTGCTCAGCCAAAACTCACACTGCAGTCATTAGGAGTCCTGGGTGCACAAAGAACGCAAGATTGAAGAAAGGGAAAAGGGAAATTGTGTGGCATATTTAATTTTTAAATCCAAACAAAAATTATGCTATTTTAAGAGGGCCAAAATATCAGAGAAGAGCATGCACACACTGAATAGATTGTGTAGATAATGGGTATAGTCTGAGAAGGTACTGTTCAGTGCAAACTGAGTGTAGCCTTAGGTAAGTGTCATATTGTAAGAAGTATGTTAGAAAGTTTATGCAAATGTATAGTAGCATAGGTAACTATTTTTCAAATAAAGTTTTTTTTAATTATATCATATAAAGAAACATATGATTCTTTACATTTTGTAGTCTGATTTCATTTGAGTTAAAAAACTTCTGTTTGCAACATTACTAGAATTTAAAAATCAATTTGGATTAGTAATCAGAGATTTCTCTGTTCTTTAGTGTCCATCTAAAAATGAACTGGTAAAAATATCTTTTTAAGACTTTACCTGTATTAGCTGAAACAATCTGAAAAGAAAGATATAGAACATTAGAATCACAAATTGAAAAATTATTTTGGGAAAAGGGAGAACATTTAACTTTTAGCAGTAATAACAATGACTTCTTTAAAATTGTATTTTCTGAACATAGCTTACTAATGTGCAATTTTACTTATTTGTTCAGTTTATTTAAGCATGCAAAGGTATGTACAGTAGTAAGATAAATCTACGAGGCTGTTACTAGTGAATTTAACATAGGTATGCAGTTCACATTACTATTTCATTACCCTCTCTGAATCTGGCCATTGATCCAGAAGGGAAAGTTTGCAGTTGCTGACAGACTTTGAAAGACACTGTGTTCTAAAAGTATAATGGCATAGTTTTTCTGTGGGACTGTTACGAGCCTGGGAAAAAGTAATTGTATAACTCTTACAAAAATATAATAATCAAAAATAAGAATAAACATTTGATAAATAGGTTGCTTTTGGTTTATTTTTAAAAAGGACATGTCATTCTTAAAAATGTTTGAGAACAAAACTAAACTCACCATTTCAAGACTCATGAGGATAAATCCAATAAGTACCAAAGGTTTACCTTTTCCACTGCACATCTTGTCAGACAAAACTTTTATTCCACACTTTGGATCTGGATGTGATCAATCAGATACCCCATAAAGAGCAGTAATCACCTCACTATAGTTGTTGTTAAGACTCGTCTTTGAGACAGTGAAAACAAATATTTGTGTGTAGCTCCTCCTCCCCTTTTCCGGATGGCCTATAAGCAGCTGCAAGGAATATTTAGTGAAAGGAAGCATACTGCATCCAACTGAAAATGCAGAAAATGTTACATGGGAAGACGGTGTTCTGTTCTTTCCTCTGTTACACAGGTGCAATTCCCATATTGCACATATGTAACAGATTGCAAAATTGAGCCCAGTTTAAATAACTACGTTGGAATTTGGTCTTACTGGTTGAAGTTCACTACATATTGTGATACTATTTCTTCCAAATGCCATCTCTTTCTTTTTGTTCAGAATTATGCTTGGGTTTTGTTTCCTATTTTAATAGGAAAATGCCATACTATAGTTAATAATTTGAGGAAGTATCTTTCTTATACTTCTTTGTATGGTGCACACTGAAGTAGAAATTACTTTCAGTTTTAATGTCTCTAGTGTGGTTGGTACAGATGTTCATCTTTGGGTTTCCTTTTGTCTGCAGATTACACTGCTCTACAGCCAAAATGCTTCTGAAATAAATGTAGTC